TTCCCTTCTTCCCTTTCAGATTTCCTTTTGACCCTGATTATTTATTCAGCAGAGCCCAGCAGGGGATGTGAGTGCAGAGCCAAAAATCCTCTCCTCACATGGGGAGGACCGGCTGGCCACGCCAAGCCTGATTGATTGGCGCCGGCGCTGCAGGCCTCTGGAAAGAGTTATTTTTATCTTGCTCTGAGCAAAGTTTTTCTATCACCTTGCTGCAAACAGTTTGTCAGGAGAGCACTCTCCGGCCGGCGGCTGGGGCTCTTGTCAGCGCTTGAGGGGGGGCGTGCACTCGGTGAAGGATGGCGGCGATGTGCTGGGGCAGAGATGAAGCTGGTGCTGCACCGAGGCAGGCATTGGGGACGGGGGCTCCTGGCCAGCCCGTGTCCTACTGGGAGACCCCCCCCCAGCAGAGCAGTCCCTGCGCTGCGTGGGCAGCAGCACCCCCAGGAGAAGGCAGGCTTAGCAAGTGCCAGTGGTGAATAAATCCTGACCAATCTACATCCTTCCCTGGAGAGGTTAGGGCTAGGTTAGCCAGAGTGTGCAGGGCTGCCTGGAGTGCCGCCAGCAGCGGTTGTTTGTAGGAAAATCAATCCCTGCAGACACCCCACAACTCTACGTATTTATCACTGTCATGAAATCCAGCATGCAGTGTCTCTGGCATCTCCTGCTTTTCTCGGAGAAGGCAGAGAGGAGGACAAGGATGTGTGGAGCAAGGGCAGAGAGCCCTTTGGGCACGGGCATCGCCTGTCTCAGCCGGGGGCTGGACTGGTCGTGCCGGGTGGTGACCTTGGGGACCACGAGAGCTGCAGGAGTTGCACGCGACCGGGAGACCAGGGGCCTCTCTTCTGCCTTCTTACTTTTTTTGGTTTTAATGCTAAAAGTTGTCCCTGAATTCAAATCTTTTCATCTCGATGCTGCTCAAGGACGCAGTCTCTCCTCTTTCCATCTCAGTATTTGAACTTCAGCGGTGGCTGGCATTTGATTGATGTTGCCATCTCTTTCTACTCTACCTCTGTCAAATCAAAGCTGCCTTCAGAGTGCTGCTACCGCCGAGACTCGAGCAGAAAAGCTGCCGAGCAGCCGTCCCGAGGCGGAGGGATGGTGGGTGGCGGGCAAGGGTGGCAGGCAGCCTCAGATCAGCGCGTTCGTTTGGTCTTCAAAACATGCTGACGCTTCTCAAACTGCAAAGCAGGTTTTTTTGCGCCTGTTTGTCCCTGCGCTTCAGCAACGGCACCGGGGAGTGAGCAGCAAAGTATTTGGGGAGCAGGAGCTGCTCTTCTCTTACGTGTTTCCCTGTCTCACATGAAAAGCGCATTTCAGCTGCTCCCTAATTGCTACAGAGCCGTGCGGCTTTGAAGTTCGTTCTGTGCATCCGGGCTCCGGTTTCCTGCGTGGTGGTGCTGTGGGATAGAGCTGCCAGCACCCGGCCGGTTTCCATCCGTTTGATCCTAACCTCCTTTTTCCCTTGCCTCTTTTGTTTTGTCTCCCCACCTCTATGCCCTGCAGATTCAGAGGATGACGGAGAGTCGGAGGCAGCGAAACAACTGATTCAGCCCATAGCTGAAAAAATCATTGCCAAGTACAAAGCCAAAGAAGAGGAGGCACCGTTGCTCTTCTTCGTGGCGGGCGAGGTAAGCTAGAGGAGAGGGCAGGGCTGCATCCTGCTGTGTCTTCATACGAGGACTGAGCTGGGTTGGGTACCGCTGTCGGCATTGTTCAGGTGGGTAAACTGAGGCACAGAGCTACTGCAGCTAGTTGAGGACCATGAATCAAAACCAGACCTGAATCCTGGCTCACTCCCTTGCTCTCATTGCTGGATATTACTTCTGGCAAAGGGGTCCCAGCTGCGTTTGCTCAGAGGTGGAGAAGCCTGATGGCAGGCGAGGGAGCTGCTGGGGACGGGCAGAGTGGGACTGGGGGAGGTGGGAGGGAGGGG